CAGAATTGATCAGGGACGGGAAGACTTCTTGGAAAGCAGTGGGATCCATTTACATCTCTATTAGTGGAAAATTGGTGGCCATTCCAAGGAAAGCAGGTTTTTCCCGTCCCGCTGCTTAGCGTTGGAGTCCAAATGACTCCTAGTGTCGGGGCACGGCGTGTGGGAGGCAAACCACGAGCAGCGCGAAGTCCCTCTCGCCCGCGCAGCCGGGCGCGCCGAGCGGGGCCGCTGCCGGAGCCCCCGCTGCTGCGATGCGGAGGGTCTTCGCCTCTTGCCACGCTTCCCACCCGGGTCAGGGACTCGGCGGGGTGCGGGGAGGTCCGCAGCGGGGCCGGGCTGTGCCCGGGGCGTCTCGGGGTGCGGGAGGGGACGATGTGGCATCACTCTCCCTCTGTGGGGAACGAACCCAGAGGATTACAGCAATTTCGGTGCAATATGGCAAATAAAGAATTTGTCGTTTTATTTAGCTGTGAGCGAGTTACAGGTGCCGGGAGCCTCAGTTTAAAGTTCCAGTATCGCTTATGAAGCTATTTAATGGACCATCGGATTGCAGACGTTTCTAGTATCAAAATTACAAGCACCCTAAGCACGATACTTTACATTTTCCGAAGTTGCCTGTGCGTTTTGTGCGCTACGGACGGATGTATCATTGCTAAAATCTGTAAAACAACGAACCTAAAGCCTGAGCTGCTCGTGCCGCTGGCAGGGCTGCGTTCCTCGGCGGGGGGTCAGCCCGGGGCTCCCACCGCCCGCCCGCCCCGGGGACACCGGCACCCACCGGCACCCAGCGGCCCCGCCGCGCCGAGCTCCGGGCGGCCGCGGGGGCGAGCGGGAGCGGGCCGGGGGCGAGCGGGAGCGGGCCGGGGGAGAGCGGGACCGGGCCGGGGGCGAGCGGGACCGGGCCGGGGGCGAGCGGGGCCGGGCCGGGGGCGAGCGGGGCCGGGGGAGAGCGGGACCGGGGCCGGGGGAGAGCGGGACCGGGGCCGGGGGAGGCAGGACCGGGCCGGGAGGGGCAGGACCGGGCCGGGGGGGGCAGGACCGGGGCCGGGGGGGCAGGGCAGAAGGAAGGGCCGCGCCGGGGCCCCGCTGCCCCCGCCGGAGCCCGGGGCGCGGGGTCGGTGCGAGGCGGCCGAGGGACTGGCCGGACCCCCGGGAGGCGCCGGCCCCCGCGGGGCGGGCGCGGCGGGGCCGGGCCGCCGTGGGGTGGAGTGGGGGCACCCCCGGAGGGTCTCTCCGCGGGCACAGAACCGGGGAGTTTTGCAAACTCACGGGTGTCTACAGGAACAGAACAAACAGCTCTGAACCTGCGCTGTACGGACCATTGCATTTCCTGTGTGACGTTAAAAATACGGTAAAATTGTGTTTACAAGGAGCTATTTAGAGCAATGAATAAAGCCTGTTCTCTTATATATGGAGCAAGCCCCGACACGCCAATGAATGGCCACACGCTTGTGGTTCGGGCTGTTTCTGACACCTTTCGCCGTCCAGGAGAGGTTGGTTAGGCTTTCGCCCCGTGCGGTGCGCAGCGGTGACCCACACGTGTTACCGTCCTGCCGTGGGGTGCTGGAGCTCGCGTGTCTACCAGCGAGGCGAAGGGACTTGACAATTAAACAATCAGGTGGTTAACTTTTAGGATTCTTCCTCAAAAAAAATCTAAGTACAGCTACAAAACTTGATGGCAGCGTTATTTGAGGAAAGGAATTATGTTCCTTTTGATAAAGATGCAGTTGGTTTTGAGAAAAAATATATCTCTTTTCACGGGGTCATGCAGAAAATTAAAACGAAAAAAAAAATTTTTTTCCCCCCCAGTATAGAATTAACCGAAATATTGTGTCTGCTCAGATACCTGCATCCAGAAAGCAGAATAAAAGCTTATGTGCCATTTCTATATGGAATTTGGGTATTGTTCTCTTTTTTAAAAAAAGCTGAAGATGCTCTGATCTTGACGTCTAGATAGTTGTCTATTGTTGTCACATCAGAGCTGGCAGGTTTAAGACAGTAATTCTTACAGGCTTTACTTTTTCTTGGTGTAAAGAAATTAAGCTGGCAGCTAGGAAAATTTAGGCACATGATTACCTATTTTTTTAAAGACTCAAATTTCCTTTCAAAGCTTCTTTTAAAAAATGTACAGCATGTTGCACTGGTGTTATTTTCAACTGTCGGTAGATCAGAAGTTAAACATTCTCCTTAATATCACATTATGTAAAATCAAATTGATAAGATATAGCAAAGTAATTGTGTATTTTCAGTAACCAAAGGTACCAAGGACCTTCTAAAACCCCAGTGCATGGTATATTTAATAAAACAAAGTCATTAAAAAAAAAAAAGAGACTAAATTTTATACAATTGCATTTTGTTGTTAAATGCATAGACTCAGGCAAATTCAGGTAAAGCATTACTAGGAGTGGTGACTGAGAACTGACAAGCTGTCCTATCCTGAGTTTTAACTCCATTCGAAAACAATGATTTCCACTGCAATCTGATGCTGCTACTGTTATGTTCTTGTAAACTGATTTAAGTACTTAAGTTTCAGGGGAAGAACCTGTTTCAAGCAAATACTTGTGCTTGTGACATCTGTAATTTGCATGTGAAGAATTATGTTGGTGAATCAGTCAAGTGACTTTCATGCTGAAGTGCCTGCTGGATGCCATCTGTGAGCACAACTGGCTAATGCTTTGGCTCTAATTTGCGGAGTAACAACTTAAAGAGATTTTCTGGTATCGATGCTGGATGTTATGTGTGAGAAAAGTCAATCAGTTACTAGAGTGAATGAATACTTGTGTCTCTCCAGAAACAGCTGAATGCAAGGTGAATGAAATGCTAATTTTAAATGTTCTGATATTTTAATGTAGCAAAAGCAAATATGAAAATTTGGCTGAAAATACCCTTTCATTAATTAAGTGGCTGAGCACGCTTACAAATGGTAAAGATTTGTCAATTTTAGGACTCTTGTTGCTTATCAGTAATTTTTTCTTCTGCCAGGAACCCCAGAATTACCTTTCCAAAGGCTGCTGCCTCCTGTTGCGTGTAGCCTTTCTGTCCACTGGGATGCCTGTAGTCTGCAGCTGGATATTGCATTTACAGTGTAACAGAATTAGTTATAGGAGCTGGAAATAAAACACAGCCTGAAAAAATTAATCTCAGAAAGCATTTGTGAAACTTGGGTAAGACTGAGGAAAAGCGAGGTTATCCCCTGGTACATGGGCAAGTAAGGGTGGCGGAGCAGGGTGGTGCTGGTGCTCTGCACCTTCCTGGCACGGCTGCAGGACAGTGGAACACAACCTCAGTATCCGCCTCAGAAACCTTTAGGGAGGTTAAAAAAGTCAGAAAAACACTGTAAAAACTGTTGAATATATTAAGCACTGAAGTAAGGCGATGCCCTAATCTTTCACTGAGAATCATGCGACTGTTTATTTTTCTTGTTGTAGTGTCTTTTGTTTATTTTGTATGATGTTCCTAACAGTCTTCAATAATTGGAGTTAAAAGGTACAAAGTAGCAAGATGGCAATAGTTATGGCATCCTTTCTACCTTAAGACTGTAAAAAAATTTTCGTGAATTTGGTATAATTTTTAAGAGGAATGTGGGATCGTATCACATATCAGTTTCTGACAACCCGTATTTCTAAGAACGTCAATCCTGTTCATGCTGTTACGTATTGTAAAGGTTTGGGCCATTACTGTAGTGTTTGGATTGCATTAAAAAAAAAAAAAAAAAAAAGTTAAAATATAAAAGAAGCTTCCCCAAAAAATTAAGTAGCTTCATTGAATACTCTTTCCTCCCAATACACAGCCCCACAGGTGTGCCCTGGAAAGCATAGCGAAATCCCGGTGTATACACAGAGTTGGTATCTGTGATCTCTGTCCCACCTCACACGGGTGTGTTCATGACTGTATGTACTTGGGCGTGAACCTCTGACTTCGGACACAGGCCTCCCCTGGTCTCAAAACTACCGATTCTTTGGGCTGGGGCTGAAATCTGATGTGGTGCCTTTGCATCGCTGCTCTTTCAGTGCGGAATTTTATCTTCCCGTGTGTGGCAGAAGATCACAGCGCTGCCGCGCGGGGAAATTGCTCACGTTCATTAACGGCACCTACGGTCGCTCGCGGTCATCTCTAACAGACCAGAGCCAGTCCTCGTTAGAACCGCTTTGAAGGCAGAAGGCGGTTCAGACTGTTCGGAGCAAACTCTGAAACCCACCGTGCTGCCTCTGAAAGGGGCAGCTGCCTCCTCTGCACACAGGAGCCACCCCGGGCGGTGAGGGGGGGACGGCGGGACCCCCACCAGCCCCCGGGCTCTGCGCTGAGCCACGTTGCTGTTTGCTGATGGAAGCTTTGGGGCGTCGGCTCAGCTACGTGGTGGTGCCTTAGGGTGGAAGGGAGGGTCTGTGAAGACTTGGGGTGCGAGGGCCTGAAGCGAGCACCCCCCACGCTGGTGCTCCTCGGGTGACGCGTGCGGCAGGACCACGTCCACACCCCCAGGAGCTGCCCTCACTTTGGCCCACCGTGGTGGCCCTCGGCGGCTCCCACACGGGCTGTGGGACTCCAGCCTTGCTCTTGACCCTTAGAAGTGACTCCCCTGACCAGCTGCAGTTCAGATTGAACAGGGATTAGCCCACCCAAATACACAGGGCTTGAGAACGTATCCAGCGTATTACTTTTGACGGTTTCAGGTGGTATTTCAACATCTTACATACCTGGTCACGTCACAAGCTGATGCTAATATTCAGAAGGTCAGGAGTGCCTCGCCCCCTCCACAGAGGAAGATAGCAGAGCCTGCTCTTTCAGCTCTTTGCTCAGTTTGTGCTCGCAGCCAACAGCCAAGGACAGCATCGACCACCCGGCCTTTCACTTGACACATCCGCAGTCTTCTTCCAGGGATGGAAACCTGTTGGCCTCTCACCCTCCCATGCCCCAACCAGGTGCTGAGGGCTTTCAAGCCACCAGAAATAGGATGAAAGCAAGTGCACCAAACTGTGCAAGCTCCAAGTAACACAAACAAGCAACACAAAAGGCTCAAGTTTATTTGTTTTGGCATGCCAGCTACTGGAAACACAGCCTAACGGATCTTTCAGAACTTATTTCAAGCCCCCAATTACTTTTCCCTTTGGCTGCCACCTAGTATGTCGGATTTTTACAGTGGAATTAAAATGTCCCCAAGACATTTTATGTAATGGAAACAATGACCTACATGGACTGGGAGTTACTGTACCAAAGAAACCATTTCCTTCAGTAAGGGTCTTGTTTTGCAGTGCTAGTGATCACTCAGTCATAAAAGGGCAGGCTCAGAATTCGTTACTGCTCAGGTCTACAAATTCACCATTTTTCTGAAAAATACACTAGGAAACATGGAGTGACTTTTCCAGTGGTACAAAAAGGAATGCGCAAGCTATTGCACTGCTTTATAGTTAACATCTATTGCATGTCAGTGGCTCAGAGCCTGGTAAGAAAACCCATTACTGGACACTTTGGTTGACTTTAGGCTCAACAGCTGGAACTGAAGCTGGGTGCTGGCCACACAGAATGACAGGCAAGAGAGCTAACGAACTATCAGCATACAGAGTTGGCCAAAAGACGCAAAGCGAAGTAACTGTGGCCACGGGCCAAGGGAAGCAGAACACACCAACACAGTGGGGCTGGAGCCTGACACACAGCCAAGTGTGGGGAAACAGCATCAACTCTGCTGCCCGGTGCAAGTCAGGAGGGATCCTGGAGCACACAGCTGAAGCCGGCAGAGAGCAGTACCAGCCTCTACTTCTCTGTTCTAACCTCCACACCAGGTGCTGTTCTTCAGCCAACTAAGACCTGGCTCTGTACCTTTGACAGGGCTACCTATATTGGTGCGCAGTTTTGCAGGGGTCCTACAGAGATTAAAAACCTTCAGGGGTAACAATCCAGTTTTTAGAGTTTCTCTGCTCAGCAAAACTCAGGCAGCCTAAACTCAGCATTTGGAAGTGAAATGCTTCCATAGCAAAAGTGGGCAAAGGCTGTAGCAAACCAGTTATTTCTGTGATAACTGACAGACAGAGTAAAAGACTGTTAATTCAACAGTGCTGTTTGAAAAAACAAACCCAAAACATTTTACGGTTTTGTTCTCTGTGCTTCTGTGGAATTAAACCTGTTCACAATTCTGTTTATCTTTTTTTTCCTGGTAAATGTCTATGAGAGTGTTACTACTTAGAACAGAGCAGTATTCATCTCTTACAAAGAGCATTACAATTATTATTCAGTTTGCCATTTGCTTTCAGATGCCTTAGTCTATATCATGATTTCAGCAAAAATATCAAGACTGCTTTCTATATCATCCTCAGGCTCCAGTTCTTCATTGTGATCCTTTGGAGAGGTGTGTACATCTTGTTCTTGAATGGTCTTTCTCTTTCTTCTGTGAATGTAAACAGAGCGATTCTTCTCCGTCTCCTCAGGAGGCGAGTCGTTTGCACTGGCAGCCGCTTTCAAAGCTAACTCTAAGTGTTTGTAGAATCTAGAAAGAAACAATTGTGTAGTTATTTTTGAAGGTTTGCTCAAGATCTGCAAAACTGAGAAATTAATGTGTTTGTAACATAATCAAAACATGCTAAGAGAAGAAAATTGTTACTAACACTGAAATGTTCTAGCCAATGCTGCTCGTCCTTGTGTATGCCGTGAGACTTCTCTTTGTGATGTTTGTTAGAAATCAGTCAGTGGGTGTACTCACACGCCATTAAGACCCTGCCAATCTTACAGAAACTGTAAAATGTTTTCAGGTTATAATGGCTGATGAATGATGTCATTACTGATCAGATGGACCGCTACTACTGGCAATTACTTTTAACAACTAGAGAGATTTTAAATGGACATACAAAAGGAAACTGGTCTTAGTACACGTAGGTGTCTCTCCAGCATCCTTTGGATCCTTGTGCTCTTTGGCTCTTCTGCCTATTCTGATCTTCAGCTGGAGACAAGCGTAAAGACCCAGAGTGCATGTAACCTTCCACTGCCTTCATATATCATCAGTTTTGGAAACGATACCGTTTAGTGGATTAGAGTGTGCACTGCAATCTGAATACTTCTGAAGTGGTTACTGTGTTAGAAGAACAAATGCTGTTATCATTAGAAAAAGAAACTTAAAACCTACTTCATGACAGTCTGCAAACTCATGCTGTTTACAGGTTTTCGCTTGAACAGTTTATAGTCTTCAGATCTCAAAAAATTAATTGAACTTGTATTTTAGACTTCAGGGGGGGTTGTCTGTTTTTTGTTTGTTTGTTTGTTTTTTGTTTGTTCTTTTTTAACATAATCTCTCTCACTTTTGGATTTAGATGCCATGAATAGGATCAGTGTACTCTTACAAACCTGTCAATCCTCCTTATGTTTTCTTCCATTTTCCGATTAGCTATGTGTATCAGAAATTCAATATATTCTTCAGAGACCATCAACTTCCCTTTGTGGGTCAGTGGAACTTCTAAGCAATGAGTACTCCGGACAGCCTAAAAACACATGCAGAAGGATTCATCTAGAATAAAGTTTTTTATTTTACTAAGGTTATTTAAATAATACGGGGAGTTCATTACAGGGAAAAAAAAAAAAGAAAACACCCACACAATTGGTTAGTTTGCTGTCAACTAAAGCATAAAGCTGTTTCTTTGCTATAGCTGTCTATCACACTACAATTCATATCTTGGCTCATAAAAAAAAAAAAAAAATCAAGGTTAACAGTGATGATATGATTTTATAACATTCCTTGCATGTAAGTAGAAAAGTTCTTACCATTGTAATTTTTCCTCCTCTGCCAACTGTAATACCAGAGTTCCTGAACCCAGAATTGATGGCCACTGAATGCTGCAGAACAAATAAATGCCTTAAAAAGGTCTTATACACTTTCGCAGCAAGAAATAATTACGGATGGGTTGCAGTGCAATTTATAATCTCAGTTTTGCAAAAACTTACTCAAAGCCATTTCCCCAAATTAACGCAATTATGGTTACATTAAAATGTTTTTAAGATGAAGCCCACACAGTATCACAAATCGTGGTTGGTTTGCAAAGAACCACAGTCAGTGCTGATTGTCTAATCTTAATCTGTTAGCGCAGATGGGGCATTAACGTCTCTCTGGGCACTGTACTATTTTATCTTGAAGAGCTGGTAACCATATAGACAATTGTCCAACACTTTTATAGCTAAAAGTGCAGTAGTACTATAAAAGAAGCTAATCAACTCTCTTCTACATTAATGAAGGAACAGACCCATCATGCATTACTCTCCAGTCTCATTCTGGAAAAGGCGAAGGCAAAGGTACTACTCCGTTAGTTGACACACAGGAGGCAAATGGCCTGGCCAGTAGCAAAATGACATCTAAAAAACCCATCCCTTTCAGCCAGCCAAGGCAACCCAGGCTCACTGGGGAAGATTTTTTTACCAGGCAGCCTGCTTCTGCTCTAGGACTGAATTGTAGCTGAGTAATTTTGTTTTATAAAAAGTACAGCAAAATGTCTGCTAAGTTTAAAGCTGTGTTTTCTTCATCAGCTTACTTTTACTACCTTAGTTATTAAACATACAGCACATCTGGAACTATTAAGTGCTAAAGCTTACTCAGGAGCCAATACGTTTACTTTTACAGCAAGGAATATAACTGAACCACAATGGAACACTGTTACTTGATGTAATTTTACCAGAAGCTGTGCATCTTGCAGCTCTTGACATAGCACATGAAGAACAAACGGTTCAAACTTGAACACAGCATCACCAGTTGCTTTCTCTAGCGCTGTCATCTGGAAAATACACCAAAATATTTATATTAATACTGCAAGTGTGTACCGTTATTACAAAAAAAAAAAAAAAAAAAAGAAAAAAAAGGGGAAAAAAAAATTAAAGCCAGTCAGTTTGTGAAACAAGCATTAAAAATGCAGCAAATGATTTCCAAGCAATGAAGCTTGTGCAGCTGTTTTTGATTTTTCATTGCTCGTAATATAGACATTCCGTGGATTTCCATGATTCCGTTAGCTAAACTGATTAGGTTTGATAGAAATTCATCGCAAGATAAACTTGAAAAAGTATGCTTCCCTGTTTATTTCTTTGTATATTCAAATGAATCAATACAGTCAGTACAGCATGGGAAGAGGACTATTTTACTGCAATCACATGAAACCTGAGCAAGTTTCTTTAGCTTTTTTTTTTTTTTTTTTTTTAACTGTTCCTTAAAATCAAAGACATGTAGTTTCTGAAGTACATTCCTCAACTTCAGAAACTTTCTGGGGTTCAGCAGATTAAATTCATGGCCTAACATACTTGATTACTAGTTTAAATAATAATGCATAGGCTACCGTATAAGAGTTATAAAAAAATCAGAGGTTGAAATTAGAGGTGTAAACCCACAAGACAAGGGAAAAAAGTAACTTCATAATTATAAAATTCAATAAGTTACCTTCAGACCGCTCAGTTCTGCTAGGAGACTGAGATGCCAGCAGCAATTTCTCTTGGATTTGCAAGTGTGGAGAAAGCTGTATTACATTCTGCGTGGTTTACTGTTAGAATTTCTCTACTTTTCTATGCTATCTTTATGCAGAGAAATCTTAAGGGCTGATATTACTTTATTCCATTCAGAAAGGTTGCTTTGAGGCAGTTATATTACTTATTTCATTATATGATGATTTAATCATAAGCCCTATTCCCCCCCCCCTTCTTGTTTGCCTTCAGTTGCTTAATTCACAGCACTAAAGAATTTGCTGTTAGCTTGAGAAATTTAAGCTGTTTCCCTGTACTTTGTTGTTTTGTCTCATCCTTCTTGTAGACTGAATACATTCAACAAAATCTTCTGGAAATAATCAAATTCGTATGCTTTTTTTAAGACACGGTGGCATAAAACTGCTGAAGTAATGCCGTCTCCTTTAAACACTGAAAAGTATTTAAATGTATTTATGCAGCACAGAGGCAGGTCTTTCTGAACGGCCGAGTTTGTAATCTGTGCGCCAGATTTGGGGAAAAAAAAAAAAAAAAAAAAAAAAAAAAAAAATCCCAAGTAACCACCGCGGCGCTAACGCCGACGAGGAACAGGCGCGGTCAGCCCGCGCAGGGCCGCGCGGCACGGAAATGCCCGCGTGGGCTGCCGCGCGCTCCGCACGGCCGGGCCCGGCCCCGAGCCCACGCGGGGACCCGCCGCGCCCACGCGCGGGCCTGTGCCCGCCGCCCTGCCCTGGCCCGGGGGCGCGCCCCCGCGCGCGGCACCGGAGAGCGCGGGGCCGCGAGGGTTGTAATTCCGCGGACACGCGAGGGGCAGCTTTTCGGCGAGAATACAGCTGACGCCGTACTGGCTGCAACGCCTGCGCGCGTGAGCTCGGCCCCTGAGCCGCCCCACAGCACTCGCCTCCCGAAGAGCTTGGCAGTGCAGCAAAGTATTTTCAGTAAAGGTTTGTTATTCTCTCACTGCATTTCCTGCAAACTCAATTTAATAGGGAAATACCGAAAGTAATTTCCTATTAGGTCTATGAAGTCTGAGGTGCTCCCAGTGAGGCTGATGGGGAAACACCCAGTGGGTATCGGATAGACACCATTTCACTTTTTCACTATTGTGTGATTATGAGATTTGTGTCAAATCAGTAACCTTGCAAAGATGTACTTCATAATACGTGATACTTCTTTCTCTTATCACTGGCAGGATAGAGGGATAAAAATAAGCAAATATCCTGTGTTCATATTCTTGAGGTTAATAATATATGCAGTGAGGTCAAATGATCTGACAGCTGAAAAGCACAACACACAGCATGCAAGATCCTGACTTCCCATTTCCTAAATACTGCACTATCAAAGCTTTATCACATATCAGTTTAAAAATGAATCAAAAACATTTTTCTTACACTTGCAATTCATGCATTAAAAACCAAAACCATCTACCTGCTAAAGGGAACAGGAAAATTCAGAGTATTTCCTCTCATAATAGTCAACAACCACCTCCTGTGTCCTACTCAGCCTGAAATTTGCTGATGGAAATTTCAGCAAGCTCTGCTTTGCTAGAACAAATACTAATGAAGACAAAGATTTTGGAGGAGACTTTTTTGGTGCATGTGTGAGAATGCATGCCTATGGAAAAGCGAGCTATGAATTGAGTGACAGAATTTTGACGTTGTAAACCGCTTCCTTTTTGGGACAGACAAAGCAAAGAGATGTATGCAGGGAACAGACTATTTTGAAAGCATCCTAAAAAAAAACCCCTACTACATATTTTTCTTTTTTAAATTTCAGGGGATTTTAAGATAGTAAATTAAGAATGCAGTATAAGAGATTCACTGTTACATGAGTTTCAGGTGTCTGTTCGTAAATTACAGGCTGTTAAGCACAGCAAGCTGGGCTCAAGACATTTTTAAATTCAAGACAGTTTTTTTAAACTGAAGGAGTTATTACATACAAAACAAACATGCTCACTGGCACGCCCACCTGACCACACCTACTTTTAATGGAAACAAAGGCATTCATTTTGGTTGTTTCTGGAATTGCTGACAAAAACAAAGCAAGAATGGCTGTACCTTATGAAACAGTTAATGAGGGCAACACAAAATATTTGCTAATCACAACTGACCCATTCTGAAATTGGTATTACAATTAATGTGTATGTCAGGCTCTAACTGTTGGAGAACAGGATAAAGGCCACATTATCCTGCATCTGTGTCCTGCAGGAATGTTGTTGCTTGAGTTATAAGCATCATCTCAGATGCTGCCTGACACAGAACTTTTACTAAGCAAACACCTAGCTTCATCATCAGTTGTTACTTCCGTATTAACAAGGAATATACTGTTTCCATTTAGCCCAGCAGTGTCTTCTAGTGCCTAGATTGTCACTGTCCAAATACCAGAAAGAATTCTACAGAAATTAGGCTTATTTTACTTTTGAATAGAAAGGCTTTTAAATCAAATCTAGACTCCAGTTGATACCTTGCTGGCAATCCAACAAGAAAGGAAAACAAAGACAAGAAGCTGCAGAAATGAAAAATACATTGTTATGCTAACAGTAATCCTTCAGGAAAGGACTCTTAAAAAATAAGAATCACTGTACGTTAGGACTTTCAGACACCGTTTCTTGAGAGACAGTCTTATGCTACAGAAGCAGTAGTAATTACTGACTTGTTGAGCTATCGAGATGTGGAGATTACGTGACTCCTGACAGTAAGAAAGTATTCAAGTTTTCTATTAGCTGCATTTACAACTACGCAGATGGTTTGGTATTAAGCTTAAAAGCATCCTCTTCAAAACAAGTCTTAAGAATGTATTGAGTAAAGCACCTAGAGAAATGTTTGTTTTGAAATTAGAGTGTCAATTCATCTCAGTAACAGGAATAAGAAACTCTGAAGCCTCTTGGTGTTTTGCATGTTTTCCATGACACTAGGAACGCTGCACTGAATTAAGAGCTGTATTGCATTGTCCTCTTACCACATCACCTTGGGTGCACGTTTCATGTGTTACCATGAGCCACGTGCAGTTTTTCTTCTGGATCTCACTGCTGTTTGCATCCTAGGAACGAGGAGAAATGATTAAACCAGCGCTACCGGGCGGCGATGCTTGATCGCGTGTAAACAACCGTAAATAACGCTGCTTTCCGAGCAGCGGTTCTCTCAGCGCATCAAGTGCGTTTGTGCAAAAGCCGCTTCAAACGGCCGCGCGTGGGCTCGGGCTCAGCCCCGCAAAGCCGCGGCCTCCGCCAGGCCCCGCAGCCGCCGGCTGAGGCCGGAGCGGGGAGCCCCCCGGCAGGGAGCCCCCCCCCCCCCCGGCAGGAACACCCCCCCCCGGGCAGGGACCCCCCCCCCCGGGCAGGGACCCCCCCCCCCGGGCAGGGAACCCCCCCCCCGGGCAGGGACACCCCCCCCCGGGCAGGGACACCCCCCCCCGGGCAGGGACACCCCCCCCCGGGCAGGGACACCCCCCCCCGGGCAGGGACACCCCCCCCCGGGCAGGGACACCCCCCCCCGGGCAGGGACACCCCCCCCGGGCAGGGACCCCCCCCCCGGGCAGGGACCCCCCCCCCCGGGCAGGGACCCCCCCCCCCGGGCAGGGACACCCCCCCCCGGGCAGGGACACCCCCCCCCGGGCAGGGACCCCCCCGGCAGGCACCCCCCCGGGCAGGGACCCCCACGGGCAGGGACCCCCCCGGGCAGGGACCCCCCCCCCCCGGGCAGGGACCCCCCCCCCCGGGCAGGGACCCCCCCCCCCGGGCAGGGACCCCCCCCCCCGGGCAGGGACCCCGCCGCCCCCGGGCGCCCTCCCCTCCCCTCCCCTCGCCGCGGCCCGGGCCGGCGGGACTCACCGCGGCGCTGCCCTGCGCCAGCACCAGGCGGCCCGAGCAGGAGCTGGCGGTGCAGAACCGGGCCCGCCCGTTGAGCAGCCGCACCACGGCGGCGGCGCGCTCGTCCAGGCCGCCCTTCCTGCTGCCGTCCGCCCGCGCCAGCCGCTGCGCCTTCCGCCGCCCGAACGCCGACATGGTGCCGGGGCGGTGCCGGGGCGGTGCCGGGGCGGTGCCGGGGCGGTGCCGGGGCGGTGCCGGCCGCTCCCGCCGCTGCGGGGGCTCCGCGGGGCTCGGCCCCGGGACGCGCCCGCCGAGCGGGGCCGGGCTCCGCCAGACGAGGCGGACGCGGCGGCGGGGGGCGTGGCCTAGCGGCGCGGGGCGTGGCCTAGCGGCGGGGGGCGTGTCCTGGGCGTGTCTTCCCCGCGGTCGCTGAGGGCCGGGCTCCCCGGGCCCTCCCGCCGCGGGGACGCTCCGCGCCGCGGCCGCGTTTCGCTTCCTGCGCAGCCGGTGAGCCCCCCCCCCCCCCCCCCCCCCCCCCCCGTGAGCCGGGTCAGGCCTCTGGTCACCCGGCTGTGCCCCGCTTTGCGACGGAGGACCAGGCTCCTCTTTCCGACCGCCCCGGGGCCCGGGCTCCCGGCGGCTGCTCCGAGGCCGGGGGAGGCCCTGAGCAGCTCGGGGCCCGCCCGGCCCCGTCCCGTCCCCGCGGCTGCCGGGGCGCTCGCGGAACCCGCCCCGGTGCCCGGCAGTTCAGCCCCAGCCTCCCGGCCCCGTCCCCGGCTCCCTCTCGCCGCCCAGCGCCCTTTGTGTCCGAGGAACTGCCCGGCCGGCGGCACCGCTGGGCTCGAAGAGCTCCACCTCTGGCTCCGGACTGGCCGGCTGGGCCCCGCCTCACCCCGCGGGGCTCTCCGGAATCCCCTGGGCTCCCCGGAGGCGGTGGGGCCTGCCCTCGGGACCGGCTCCCCCCTGCCCGGCCCTGAGCTCCCTCGCCTCCCGCTCGCTGCAGCCGCGGCCCCAGCGCCTGCGGCTCCCGCCAGCCCCCCCGCTCGTGAGTAAGGGGGCACCTCTCCTCTCCGGCCCCCCCCGCTCGTGAGTAAGGGGGCACCTCTCCTCTCCGCCCCCCCCCCGCTCGTGAGTAAGGGGGCACCTCTCCTCTCTGGCTGCCCCCCTGCTCATGAATAAGGGGGCACCTCTCCGGCCCCCCCTGCTCGTGAATAAGGGGGCACCTCTCTGGCTCTCCCCCCACTTGTGAATAAGGGGGCACCTCTCCGGCCCCCCCCGCTCGTGAATAAGGGGGCACCTCTCCTCTCCGGCCCCCCCTGCTCGTGAGTAAGGGGGCACCTCTCTGGCCTCCCCCTGCTCGTGAATAAGGGGGCACCTCTCTGGCTCTCCCCCCACTTGTGAATAAGGGGGCACCTCTCCTCTCTGGCTGCCCCCCTGCTCATGAATAAGGGGGCACCTCTCCGCCCCCCCCCACTCGTGAATAAGGGGGCACCTCTCCGCCCCCCCCCACTCGTGAATAAGGGGGCACCTCTCCGGCCCCCCCGGCTCGTGAATAAGGGGGCACCTCTCTGGCTGCCCCCTGCTTGTGAATAAGGGGGCACCTCCTCTCCGGCCCCCCCTGCTCGCCAGCACGGGGCACATCTCCTCTCCAGCGCTCGGGCAGCCTCCGGGATCGCTTGTGCCCGCCTGTTGCCCCTCCAGCACGTACCGGGGTTGCTCCCACTTGTCTAGGGAAGACCTCATCCTAACGGGTGCAGGATCACTTGTTAAAGCCTACAGGTCCTCAGGTGTTTTTCTGGGTAGAACAGAAGCCTTCTTTTAATTTGGTTTATTATCACTATGTCTAAAAGTGACCTATTCTTCAGAAATTACTTTGTGATGTAAATTTTTGTCATGTCTCAAGGTAAATTTACCTGACTTGAACAGGTAACCAAAAAGCCTTACAGACCATATCAGCTAGGAGAAAAAAATAGTGACTTAGTCTGGTACTTTTAAAAGCTGTAATCACCTGTAAGAAGAAGCCTACCTCTGGATATAGTCCTAATGTTCTTTAGCTGGAGTTGATCAAAAACATGATCTCTTGGTGTCCTTAAACTTCCTGTATGCCTGTTTGCTGTCCTGTGATTATTTGCTTTATACCCAGTAAAGCTCCTCTGTCTGTATCGATCAGACTCCTGAAAGAATTGTGTATCACTTTTCCTGTAGTAGCAAGTTGCTTGCGGTGTTTTGTTAGAATACTTCATAAATGAATGCAGTTGGAATAGTCACAGCTTCATCTGTGGATCAGCCGTCATCGCTCTGATCAATGCATGCAAGGCTGTGAGCTGCAGCAGCTGAGGGCAGTGGTTCATGGTCTGTGCTGCATGCAGCTGCAGTGTCAAAGTCCAGCAGGATTTAAGGATTGGAATCTTGAATGTCTGCACTTCAGTTTTTGCTGGCTGGTTTTAATGTCCTAGTGTCTATTTTTGATAGCTGATCAGTAGTTTTTTGTAGCTTTGTTTTTCACATGTAAATTTAATAGTAAGCGGGAGCAGTGACTGGAATGTCACTTAGATTACTCAGTCAGCCAGTGTACAACAGGCTATTTTGCAATAATGTGATAGCAAATTGTCAGTATTTTCCCCCAAAGTACTGTACATCTCTGCATATGTGATAGTAGTGCAGTGTTCACAGTAGCTGCTGCAGAAATACTTCTATGCATAAATTATTTTAATGTGATTCTCTTAATACTCACACAGTCCTGCAAATGGTAGGGTTAATTTTATGCCTATTGCAAGATTTGTGGAAAAAAAAAAAAAACAACCAACCAACCAAAACCAACAAAACCAACAAAAAAAAACAGACAAAAAAACCCCAACAAACACCAACCAACCAAAAACCCCTCAAAATTTAAATCAGGAGTGAGGCTCAGTTTAGTCACTTGCTTGACAGGCAGTTGTCTGATTTCTTTATTTTGAAAATACAAATAATTTATGAAGGCAATACAATGTTCTTTTTTTTTTTTTTTCTTTCTCCTAGGTATTCTGATCACTATGGCAGCCACAAGAAATGTGATGAGAGCTGTCAGAGTTTTTGAATTTGGTGGCCCTGAAGTGCTTAAACTCCAGTCAAATGTCTTAATTCCCAATCCAGAAGAAAATCAGGTACATATGAGTTCTGTGAACTGGAATAATGATATTGAATGATAACAGGTATATTCAGAACAGAATGAAGAATAGGAAACAAAACTTTTAATCTAAATATGTAGTTTTTGATCAGTGTACTCATACTACCAGAGACATCACGTTTAAGAAATGTGGCTTTTTACTGTTATATGGGCTATATATTCCATATAAAGGATTTCCTGAAAATGGCCTCAATTCAACACAGAATTTTTACTCTCTCTGTTTAAGAATTTAGTTAAAATGCCATGATACTGTGCTGTGAAATAAAATTCTAAATCTTTTTAATTATTGCTTAAGAACCATCTTTTCTTTTAGGTGTTAATTAAAGTCCATGCCTGTGGGGTAAATCCTGTCGAGACGTATATTCGTTCCGGAAATTATGCTAGAAAACCAGCTTTACCCTATACTCCTGGCTCGGATGTGGCTGGTGTAATAGAAGGTGTTGGGGAACATGTGACTGCATTCAAGGTATTTATACCTTGGGGTTTAATTCATTATCGTTTATTGTATCTGCTTTGTGTGATTGCTCTGCTACTGTTCCTGTTTTTATTGCTTATAATCATGTAATCTCTTCAGGGGGGAAAATCACCTTCAGTGACTGGTAGGAGCACGCAGTGAGATCATATTGTCAGTCCAGTCTGCAGACTGAACTGTAGCGAAGTCTTTAGTGCTGTTGGTCTCCAGGAGTCAAAAGGTCTCAGAGGAGGCACTTCAGTTTGTCTGCTTAAAGCAGTGATAGGCGTACAAAAGTTGTGGTTCAGAATTATTTTGTATGGCACTGCAGAAATACCTGAAGTTGAATGCTTCCTGTTTGAGGTAATAATTTCATGCAGAACTGAACAATTTTTTGGGAAATGGAAATAGCTTTTATTTTACTTACTTATAAAGCCCCATAAATTGCATATTTGTCGTTAATACTGTTCAAATACTTCATTACTCTAGTCTAGTAATTTTACGTAGGTTTTCTCAGGGGAAAAGTCTTGGGACAGGAGAAGGCAATTACCAGTTCGCTAAAAGATATCTATGAAACTTATTTAGTTTTTAAATCTGTTCTTTCTTTCAAGTCGCTAGACTGTTGATCTCAGAGAAACACGAACATTGTAGTTAAAATTGTGCTGGAATTTCCTGACTGGGAATTCATGTAACTGTTGTGGGAGAGATGAGAGATTTGGTTATCTAGAGAGAAGAACCATGTTTTTTCATATTTTCTTATCAGCAGTTTGTTATACCCGCTCTGTGTGCTTTTTATTTCTGATGGAAATGGTGATGCTCTTTGCTTGAATGAAGGAGAGAAATGACGAGCTCCGTGTGTGCCCCAGACATCCTGAAAACGCTGAGTAGCCAAGCTCACGGGTTTGCATACTGGTAATGCTTGAGAAGCTGATGTGCAGCACCCTGCACGGTAGTTAATACCCGCTGTCTGCCAGCCAAGCTGAGGCGGTCCCGGTGCTGTACGTTTACTGGGATCGGCAGGCACACAGTCAAAGCAGGGCTCAGTAGCTGGCGTTGGCGGGTACTGCGCTGGTCCGGGAGCGGGCTCGCAGCGGGTCGGATCCTGCCCGGGGCCCCCGCGGCAGCGCTGAGCGCCGGTGCCCGCACCTGCACCTGCGGCGCTGCCAGGCCGGGCGCTCCTGGCACCGGCCGAGCCCCTGGCTGCGCTGCTCCCTCCCGGAGCCGCCTTAGGGCACCGTAGGAGTACGCCTTTTTCCAGCTCTAAACAAAGGTGATTGAGAAATGTTCCTCTGTGTTTGCAAAAGCTTTTGAGGTTTTGCATTTGGAATCTGTGGATGGAATTCTTCAGTGTTCAGGTTCATTAAGGTTAATATTAATGAGACAGTAGGTTTGTGTGTTACACTGTAGAGCGGGGATTATAATTATGACACTTAAATCTAAGTACGTGAAATTATATGGTTTGTGTTGCATTGATTGTATGTATTAGCATTTATAAAAATCTTCTCTGTGACAAATATAACTGTTTATTTTTAACGAGAGCTGTTAGAAATAGACTAAACTTCTGTGAACTGGTTCTTGATGTATATTAAGTTAAAAATAAGGAAGATAATTTATCTGTTTTCTTTCCCTCATTTCTAGAAAGGTG